AGCATATACACACGACGTGATCTCAACAAAATCAGACAGGAAACCATTAAAAAGTACGATTTGATTGACGGATCAAATCACGCGAAATTTTAAAAATAGATCTTTGCAGAATTTTCAAACATGACAATTTACAAGTTTATCACTTCGCAAACAACAGCATACCGCAAAATTCCGAAAATAAGCCCCTTCAGATATAACCCCCCGATCCGGTAACGCAAAAAACCCTCCGTTAAATCACCTCTCCAAATATAAGCTCTTCCAAGGGCTTGTACTTGGAAAATTGCCCTCAAATACAAAGTAAAACAAAGCAAAAACGGTAAATTTACTTCCAACTACAAGGCTAACCCAGTCGAGGTTGAAACGCAAATTTCCCTCCGAATATAAGCCCCGCCAAAAATAATTTTTACCTCAAAAAGGGCCTTTGAAAAATATAAGCCCTGGGGCTTATTATCGGAATTTCACGGTAATGACTTAAATGGAACCGTTAAAAGTTTGAATTGTTTCCTTACCTGAGAAGAAAGGTAGAGCTTAGTTGTTTTCTGTTGACTCGCCAACTTAATAGCCAAAAAGGTTTGTTGTGTCGTTCTTCGCGTTCGTCTAACCGCCGCCCGGTTAGCTCAACGGGAGTAGCGCTGGTCTGCTGAGCGGGAGGCCGTAGGTTCAAACCCCGGCCGGACCAACACTCAGGGTCTTTAAATAAGTGAGGAGAAAGTGCTGCCTTTGTAATAACATCAGCAAACGGTTAGACTTTCTTGTCTGCTCGGATAAGGACGACAAACCGTAGGCCCCGTCTCACAAGCCCTTGCACATGTATTAAAAATCTGTGAGACGTTAAAGAACCCACACACTCTTCGTAAAGAGTAGGGCACGTAGTGCCCGGTGTAGTGGTCTATCTCACTTTCACACTCATGTATGGGGGCATCATTACTCATTCCTTCATTACTTGTAAGCTGCATCATAAATCATCTTGGATTTTTAGACCAAATTTTTTTTGTTAAGAAAAGTTGAGTTCACGAAACGGCCTCTTCGCGAATAAACGGGAGTTGTAAACAATCCATTGAGCACAAAACCCAGCTATAGCAAATGGAAAAACGCCGTTTTGAATCCTTCGAAGTCTTTCATTGCCTTAAAAATGTCACCCTAGGATTTTTTCGAGTCTTAAAAGATCATTCCCTAAAAAAAATCGATAACGACATCATCTTAAGCTAAAATTCTCGAGAACTCTGCCTGATAAAGAAGATCTACTTGCACCTCAGTAACGCACTATTGCTGATTCCCTCATACCGTCCATAACTGGACACAACTGTACGCAAGCTAAACGTGAGATGCTGGCACTGCCAGTGAGAATGAGAGGCATGGGCCTAACAAGTCAGAGTCAAGTAGCAGCCTTAGCAGTATGCAGCATCAGCTAACATCTCTGGACCGTAAGCTCAACGAATAAAATCGCAGACACGCGACCGCCGGATGACAATGTAATACGCGCTGTGGACCAGGAGTTGGCCAAGTGAAGAATCAATGTCTGGAGGAAAAGCTTGAAGAGGTGAAGAGCTCGATTTCTGGAAAAACTTTGAGAGCCACTCAGAAAGGTGCGTCTAGTTGGCTTACTGTTTTGTCAATTAGAGATATGGACTTTGATTTAAACAAGAGTGAGAGTCGAGATTCTGTGAAACTCAGGTACGACTGGGAAGTTCCTGATACGCCCTCTGTTTGTGTTTGCGGGGACATTTTCAGTGTGTACATCTATGATACGCAAACGGGGCGGATTTGTTATCCAAAGCTATAATACACTCAGGGATCTGGAGGTAGAACTACTTAGTATGGTGTGTACGTCAAATGGAGTCGAACCAGTTTTGCAAGACATCACAGGAGAAGAGTTGAATAGGGGAGCCAATGACGACCCGGATGCGCGGCTGGATGTAGTTGCAAGAGGATTCTGCGAGAGGCAGTGGTCTGCTTTTTTTGATGTTGGGGTTTGCCACCCGAATGCAGACTCCTATAGAGACATGGATCCAGACCAGATATTCAAGCAACATGAAACAGAGAAGAAGCGCCAGTACACCACGCGAGTGTTAGAAGTGAAGGAAGCCACATTCATGCTATTAAAGTAACCTGAGTAGAAATTGTATTATTAACTTTAACTTAATTATGCTATTAGTTCCTCTCCCCTTGTGGCTCTCCTTTTTTAATTTGTAAAAAAAAACTTAAAACACTATTAAGAGCTAACTGGAAACTCACGGTTCCTTTAGCCTCTAGGCTCCGAATAATTAACTGTTTTTGTAAGTTATCACATTGTAAATTTCTAAAGTATATAATTTTTTTTCTTGTAATAATTCTAAGTGTGTGAGTCAATAAAAGATTGTTGTTGTTGTTGTTGTTGTTGCTATTAACTTTCAGCACGACAGGTTGAATGGCGGTGGAATGTAAACGATACCATAGGTAGGCTTGCAGAGCTAGTTGCTACAAAGAAGAGTGAAAGCTATTCGACTACCATGTCATGGATCCGGGCAGAAGTGTCCTTTACGCTCCTGAGATCGGTATTGCTGTGCTTCAAGAGGCTCCCGAGTTTCTAGAAGAGTGCGTTTAGAATAATCGGCCACTGACCTAGATATTCAAAAAGAACTCGGTAATATTCAATAAGATATTGAAACCGGTATTTTATTTTATTTTTTTAGTTAGAATACATTTCCGCTTGAAAATAGTTTTTTTTAATCGAAATTAAGTGTTTTTTAATCGAAATACACTGTAAATAGGTTTTAATAGCTAGCTTTGTTGTCAAAAAGGTTATTTCATTCTTATATTAATAATATTATTATCATTAAATAATAATAATTATTATTATCACTATTATTTTTATTTTTATTACAGGTGTTTTAGGATGGGGAAAGGGGTGGCCAAGGTAGTCAAGGACACCAGTTTTGACTGTAACTTGTTTATTAAAAAAAAAAATAACACATTTTTATAGATGCTTTCACCCTGCCACTCAAGCGGTTGTTCAATTATGGCCACAGAATGAACTAAATCAAGTTTAAAGTATGAGAACATTTTGTAAGTTAAGTTGCCATGCAAAATGCATACCGTTCTGAACGCTACTTTTTACATGTTGCGTTCATTTTACTCTGCTACTTAAACAGTGGTTTTACTTTTCAAAACATAAAGCGAGATTAAATCGAAAACCGTGAGTTATTTAAAAACAGAAGAGCAATTATAACATGTAATAGACTGTGAGCAGTCTCTCATTTTTCTTTGCAAAGTTACTGCACGAGAAACCCAAGGACGCGAGCGGCGAAGCCGAAAGCAGCCTAGATACTCTGTACATAGCGGTCTCAGATCCATACACTCCATTTTTAATCTGATCTCATACCGCCTTAATATTCGTAGCACCCATGTAAATCAAATTGATCAGGGGTGAGTGCTCCATAAAGAGATATAGTTCGCTTGGATATTACTTGAGACTATAATTTCAGGACCACGCAGCCCTTCTTTGTGCCGTGAGAAGAAGAACAGCTACGTCAGAGATTAACTGACAATCAATTCGCTGGGTAAAGGGTGCGGCGGACGAGATTGACTGAGCATAGGAAACCTGCCTCCATTGAGTTCCCCTTATATTGTACATTCTCCTTTCTCTCTTGCGTATCACAATGTTAGCGGTACATACAGCAAAAACTAAATATAAAAGACCACATAAAAATTTAGACAGAAACACGGGTAGTTACTTCGTGTTTCAAAATATTTAGGCTCAAACAACAGTTTTTATCTTTTGTTAGACTCGTTAGGATTGGAGAGTAAATTTGGAATGAAATCCCCGCTCAACTGCGTGTGCTTTCAATTTTTCTTAGCAAAAGGCCAAGTTCTCACTGGTCATGTTGTTTCAGTCTTCAGCGTCACGTGTAAAGGATCGTTGATCGGCAGCATATAGCGAACAAACCAGTTTGCTTTAAGCACTAATACCACTGAGTTTATAACTAATACTAATTACCTTCAGCAATTGAACTAGAATAACATTCTAAGCTAAAATATCATTAAGATCGTGACAAAACTTAAAGTTACATCAACTTTTAGCTTGTTGTAGTACTACTTTCGCTGCACAAATACTTGAAAACTGAAACAAAAAATGCGCGTGTGGTATTCCGAACATTTTCCTGGAAGCCCACATGCTCGAAAACATATGTTGAAAAGTGTTCAGATAACCCATGAAGTCAAACGATTACTGCTGTATCATTAAAAGTCCCTTTAATCTTTGATCCAGTATCTAAATCCCTTGTACCATCCTATATGTGTAGTCTCCTTTATTCTCTCTTCCACCGCTTCCGCCGTTTTGACGTTTGACAGCACTTCTGCTTGTTCCTTTGCTTCTTCAAGGTAGTTAATGCGCTGCTTCCATCCACGGTTGGCCGTTTGTTTTTCAGCTGCAATGAGCAGTTCAATATACTCCACGTTTGTCAATGGACTGGGTTTGAGAGCAATTTCATCCAAGCGGTGTAAGCATCTCTGTGCTTTGACTATGCTTCTCATGACTTGCTGGTGCATCTTTTCAAGCTCCTCGCCAATTCTGGCAATCATACCCTCTACTTTGGTCTTGCCAATTTGGTCATCTCAAGTTGGACACCCTCAGCTTTAGAAAACTCGTCAAAGAAGGCCTTCAAAGATTGGTAGCTCATCTTCCAAAACAGTGCATTAATTCCACTTCCATCGCCCTTATTTTCAGCGACCTTTAAGTTGAACATAAAGGTTTTATCATGATTGGGAATACCAGCTTCCTTTATTGCGTTAAATACAGGAGGCTTTCGGCCATCAGCAAATGTTAGCATCATAAAGATGTTTCTCGACAGGTCTTGGCCAAATATGGATAGAACGGACGAAAAGATGTACTCCTGTGTTGGGGTAAGACGTTCTTGAGCCGCCTGGATAACAAAGCCAATACCATCAAGGTGGCTGACACCGATTGGTGGAGGAATGGAAAAGAATTCATTAATTTGTTTGGTTATCTTTTTGTCCCTCTTCAGCCCTTCAGAGTCACCAAAGCCAGGTGTGTCGATTACGGTTAATTTACTTGACAGTGCTGACCCTTCCATAGGGTAAAATGTGTAAGCAGTGATATACTGTGTCTGGCTTCTCGACTTGGAGACTTTTGGATCATCTATCACCAACTGGAAACGGAAATCATCTTCCCATTTGACCCCCATGATGTAGTTGGCCATGCCATTGATCAAAGTGCTTTTACCTGATCCAGTTGCCCCAATAAGGAGGAGTACTTTTTCTTGTTCTCGACATTGGCCTGGTTCACCAATTGATTGTTTGGAGATCTTCTTTCTTTCATTTCTCAGCTGCTCGTTCATTTGAAGTTTGTAAATAGAAGGAGTCCCATCACTGAGTTTAAGCTTTTCCAGTCTTGCAGCTTCTGCCAGACAATGCTTCTTGAACAGCATCTTTGCTTGACGCTTGGCTTCTTCAAGGTATTTTACGCGCTGTAGGTGACCAATTTCTGCTTGTTGTTTTTCTGAATTAATGAGCAACTGCAAATGGTCCACGTTGAAAACTGGATTTGATTTGAGAGCAATTTCGTTCAAACGAACATGGCAATTCTTCGCCGTTTGCCATCTTTCATCCTCGCGCATGTTTTGGACCCTCCTGGCACCATTGGCAACGTCTTGGACTATATCTTTCAGGAGAGTATGTAGCTTGTCGCGCTCGTTCAACACTTCCTTTGTTAGCTCAATGCCATCGTTTTTAGAGGAAGAGAGCAGCGTAAAGAATTATCCGAAAGCTCGGAAATTCATCTTCCAAAATAATGCATCAAAGCTTACCTCGTCTTCATTTTTGTTGTCTGCAAACAGGGCAGAGTTGTTAAACTTAAAATGCCTATCGCTTACTGTGAGGTTTGCATCATTTAGCGCTTGAAGAATAGGAGGCTTCTCGTGATCTGCAAATGTTACCATCAAAAAGATGTTTTTGCCCAGGTCTTTCCCAAACATGGATAAAACGGAATTGAAAATGTACTCCTGATGTGGTGTAAGTCGTGTAAGGTTAGCCCGGGTAACGAAGGCAATGCCATCGAGTTGCTGAATACCGTTTGGTGAAGGGATTGAAAAAAATTCCTTTATTTGTTTGGCAATATCTTTGTCACTCTTGAGCCCTTCAGAGTCACCAAAGCCAGGTGTGTCGATTACGGTTAATTTATAGGACACTGCTGAACCTTCCATAGGGTGAAACGTGTAAGCAGTGATATACTGTGTTTGACTTCTCGACTTGGAGACTTTTGGATCATCTATCACCAACTGGAAACGGAAATCATCTTCCCATTTGACCCCCATGATGTAGTTGGCCATGCCATTGATCAAAGTGCTTTTACCTGATCCAGTTGCCCCAATAACGAGGAGTACTTTTTCCTTTCCTTGACATTGGCCTGGTTCACCAATTGATCGTTTGGCAATCTTCTTTCTCTCATTTGTAAGTTCCTCTTTCATTTGAAGTTTGTAAATAGAAGGAGTCCCATCACTGAGTTTAAGCTCTTCCAGTCTTGCAGCTTCTGCCAGACGATGCTTCTTGAACAGCATCTCTGCTTGACGCTTGGCTTCTTCAAGGTATTTTACGCGCTGTAGGTGACCAATTTCTGCTTGTTGTTTTTCTGAATTAATGAGCAACTGCAAATGGTCCACGTTGAAAACTGGATTTGATTTGAGAGCAATTTCGTTCAAACGAACATGGCAATTCTTCGCCGTTTGCCATCTTTCATCCTCGCGCATGTTTTGGACCCTCCTGGCACCATTGGCAACGTCTTCGACTATATGTTCCAGGAGAGTATGTAGCTTGTCGCGCTCGCTCAACACTTCCTTTGTTAGCTCAATGCCATCGTTTTTTAGAGGAAGAGAGCAGCGTAAAGAATTGTCCGAAAGCTGGAAAATTCATTTTCCAAAATAATGCATCAAAGCTTACCTCGTCTTCATTTTTGTTGTCTGCAAACAGGGCAGAGTTGTTAAACTTGAAATGCCTATCGCTTACTGTGAGGTTTGCATCATTTAGCGCTTGAAGAATAGGAGGCTTCTCGCGATCTGCAAATGTTACCATCAAAAAGATGTTTTTGTCTAGGTCTTTGCCAAACATGGATAAAACGGAATTGAAAATGTACTCCTGATGTGGTGTAAGTCGTGTAAGGTTAGCCCGGGTAACGAAGGCAATGCCATCGAGTTGCTGAATACCGTTTGGTGAAGGGATTGAAAAAAAATTCCTTTATTTGTTTGGCAATATCTTTGTCACTCTTGAGCCCTTCAGAGTCACCAAAGCCAGGTGTGTCGATTACGGTTAATTTATAGGACACTGCTGAACCTTCCATAGGGTGAAACGTGTAAGCAGTGATATACTGTGTTTGACTTCTCGACTTGGAGACTTTTGGATCATCTATCACCAACTGGAAACGGAAATCATCTTCCCATTTGACCCCCATGATGTAGTTGGCCATGCCATTGATCAAAGTGCTTTTACCTGATCCAGTTGCCCCAATAACGAGGAGTACTTTTTCCTTTCCTTGACATTGGCCTGGTTCACCAATTGATCGTTTGGCAATCTTCTTTCTCTCATTTGTAAGTTCCTCTTTCATTTGAAGTTTGTAAATAGAAGGAGTCCCATCACTGAGTTTAAGCTCTTCCAGTCTTGCAGCTTCTGCCAGACGATGCTTCTTGAACAGCATCTCTGCTTGACGCTTGGCTTCGTCAAGGTATTTTACGCGCTGTAGGTGACCAATTTCTGCTTGTTGTTTTTCTGATTTAATGAGCAACTGCAAATGGTCCACGTTGAAAACTGGATTTGATTTGAGAGCAATTTCGTTCAAACGAACATGGCAATTCTTCGCCGTTTGCCAGCTTTCATCCTCGCCCATGTTTTGGACCCTCTTGGCACCATTGGCAACGTCTTGGACCATATGTTCCAGGAGAGTATGTAGCTTGTCGCGCTCGGTCAACACCTGCTTTGTTAGCTCAATGCCATCGCTTTTAAAGGAAGAGAGCTGGGTAAAAATTGTCCGAAAGCTCGGAAATTCATTTTCAAAATAATGCATCAAAGCTTACCTCGTCTTCATTTTTGTTGTCTGCAAACAGGGCAGAGTTGTTAAACTTAAAATGCCTATCGCTTACTGTGAGGTTTGCATCATTTAGCGCTTGAAGAATAGGAGGCTTCTCGTGATATGCAAATGTTACCATCAAAAAGATGTTTTTGCCTAGGTCTTTGCCAAACATGGATAAAACGGAATTGAAAATGTACTCCTGATGTGGTGTAAGTCTTGTAAGGTTAGCCCGGGTAACGAAGGCAATGCCATCGAGTTGCTGAATACCGTTTGGTGAAGGGATTGAAAAAAATTCCTTTATTTGTTTGGCAATATCTTTGTCACTCTTGAGCCCTTCAGAGTCACCAAAGCCAGGTGTGTCGATTACGGTTAATTTATAGGACACTGCTGAACCTTCCATAGGGTGAAACGTGTAAGCAGTGATATACTGTGTTTGACTTCTCGACTTGGAGACTTTTGGATCATCTATCACCAACTGGAAACGGAAATCATCTTCCCATTTGACCCCCATGATGTAGTTGGCCATGCCATTGATCAAAGTGCTTTTACCTGATCCAGTTGCCCCAATAACGAGGAGTACTTTTTCCTTTCCTTGACATTGGCCTGGTTCACCAATTGATCGTTTGGCAATCTTCTTTCTCTCATTTGTAAGTTCCTCTTTCATTTGAAGTTTGTAAATAGAAGGAGTCCCATCACTGAGTTTAAGCTCTTCCAGTCTTGCAGCTTCTGCCAGACGATGCTTCTTGAACAGCATCTCTGCTTGACGCTTGGCTTCTTCAAGGTATTTTACGCGCTGTAGGTGACCAATTTCTGCTTGTTGTTTTTCTGAATTAATGAGCAACTGCAAATGGTCCACGTTGAAAACTGGATTTGATTTGAGAGCAATTTCGTTCAAACGAACATGGCAATTCTTCGCCGTTTGCCATCTTTCATCCTCGCGCATGTTTTGGACCCTCCTGGCACCATTGGCAACGTCTTCGACTATATGTTCCAGGAGAGTATGTAGCTTGTCGCGCTCGCTCAACACTTCCTTTGTTAGCTCAATGCCATCGTTTTTAGAGGAAGAGAGCAGCGTAAAGAATTGTCCGAAAGCTGGAAAATTCATTTTCCAAAATAATGCATCAAAGCTTACCTCGTCTTCATTTTTGTTGTCTGCAAACAGGGCAGAGTTGTTAAACTTGAAATGCCTATCGCTTACTGTGAGGTTTGCATCATTTAGCGCTTGAAGAATAGGAGGCTTCTCGCGATCTGCAAATGTTACCATCAAAAAGATGTTTTTGCCTAGGTCTTTGCCAAACATGGATAAAACGGAATTGAAAATGTACTCCTGATGTGGTGTAAGTCGTGTAAGGTTAGCCCGGGTAACGAAGGCAATGCCATCGAGTTGCTGAATACCGTTTGGTGAAGGGATTGAAAAAAATTCCTTTATTTGTTTGGCAATATCTTTGTCACTCTTGAGCCCTTCAGAGTCACCAAAGCCAGGTGTGTCGATTACGGTTAATTTATAGGACACTGCTGAACCTTCCATAGGGTGAAACGTGTAAGCAGTGATATACTGTGTTTGACTTCTCGACTTGGAGACTTTTGGATCATCTATCACCAACTGGAAACGGAAATCATCTTCCCATTTGACCCCCATGATGTAGTTGGCCATGCCATTGATCAAAGTGCTTTTACCTGATCCAGTTGCCCCAATAACGAGGAGTACTTTTTCCTTTCCTTGACATTGGCCTGGTTCACCAATTGATCGTTTGGCAATCTTCTTTCTCTCATTTGTAAGTTCCTCTTTCATTTGAAGTTTGTAAATAGAAGGAGTCCCATCACTGAGTTTAAGCTCTTCCAGTCTTGCAGCTTCTGCCAGACGATGCTTCTTGAACAGCATCTCTGCTTGACGCTTGGCTTCGTCAAGGTATTTTACGCGCTGTAGGTGACCAATTTCTGCTTGTTGTTTTCTGATTTAATGAGCAACTGCAAATGGTCCACGTTGAAAACTGGATTTGATTTGAGAGCAATTTCGTTCAAACGAACATGGCAATTCTTCGCCGTTTGCCAGCTTTCATCCTCGCCCATGTTTTGGACCCTCTTGGCACCATTGGCAACGTCTTGGACCATATGTTCCAGGAGAGTATGTAGCTTGTCGCGCTCGGTCAACACCTGCTTTGTTAGCTCAATGCCATCGCTTTTAAAGGAAGAGAGCTGGGGTAAAAAATTGTCCGAAAGCTCGGAAATTCATTTTCCAAAATAATGCATCAAAGCTTACCTCGTCTTTTTTTTGTTGTCTGCAAACAGGGCAGAGTTGTTAAACTTAAAATGCCTATCGCTTACTGTGAGGTTTGCATCATTTAGCGCTTGAAGAATAGGAGGCTTCTCGTGATATGCAAATGTTACCATCAAAAGATGTTTTTGCCTAGGTCTTTGCCAAACATGGATAAAACGGAATTGAAAATGTACTCCTGATGTGGTGTAAGTCTTGTAAGGTTAGCCCGGGTAACGAAGGCAATGCCATCGAGTTGCTGAATACCGTTTGGTGAAGGGATTGAAAAAAAATTCCTTTATTTGTTTGGCAATATCTTTGTCACTCTTGAGCCCTTCAGAGTCACCAAAGCCAGGTGTGTCGATTACGGTTAATTTATAGGACACTGCTGAACCTTCCATAGGGTGAAACGTGTAAGCAGTGATATACTGTGTTTGACTTCTCGACTTGGAGACTTTTGGATCATCTATCACCAACTGGAAACGGAAATCATCTTCCCATTTGACCCCCATGATGTAGTTGGCCATGCCATTGATCAAAGTGCTTTTACCTGATCCAGTTGCCCCAATAACGAGGAGTACTTTTTCCTTTCCTTGACATTGGCCTGGTTCACCAATTGATCGTTTGGCAATCTTCTTTCTCTCATTTGTAAGTTCCTCTTTCATTTGAAGTTTGTAAATAGAAGGAGTCCCATCACTGAGTTTAAGCTCTTCCAGTCTTGCAGCTTCTGCCAGACGATGCTTCTTGAACAGCATCTCTGCTTGACGCTTGGCTTCTTCAAGGTATTTTACGCGCTGTAGGTGACCAATTTCTGCTTGTTGTTTTTCTGAATTAATGAGCAACTGCAAATGGTCCACGTTGAAAACTGGATTTGATTTGAGAGCAATTTCGTTCAAACGAACATGGCAATTTTGCGCAGTTTGCCATCTTTCATCCTCGCGCACGTTTTGGACCCTCTTGGCACCATTGGCAACGTCTTGGACTATATGTTCCAGGAGAGATTGTAGCTTGTCACGCTCGCTCAACACCTCCTTTGTTAGCTCAATGCCATCGTTTTTAGAGGAAGAGAGCTGCGTAAAGAATTGTCCGAAAGCTCGGAAATTCATCTTCCAAAATAATGCATCAAAGCTTACCTCGTCTTCATTTTTGTTGTCTGCAAACAGGGCAGAGTTGTTAAACTTGAAATGCCTATCGCTTACTGTGAGGTTTGCATCATTTAGCACTTGAAGAATAGGAGGCTTCTCGTGATCTGCAAATGTTACCATCAAAAAGATGTTTTTGCCTAGGTCTTTGCCAAACATGGATAAAACGGAATTGAAAATGTACTCCTGATGTGGTGTAAGTCGTGTAAGGTTAGCCCGGGTAACGAAGGCAATGCCATCGAGTTGCTGAATACCGTTTGGTGAAGGGATTGAAAAAAATTCCTTTATTTGTTTGGCAATATCTTTGTCACTCTTGAGCCCTTCAGAGTCACCAAAGCCAGGTGTGTCGATTACGGTTAATTTATAGGACACTGCTGAACCTTCCATAGGGTGAAACGTGTAAGCAGTGATATACTGTGTTTGACTTCTCGACTTGGAGACTTTTGGATCATCTATCACCAACTGGAAACGGAAATCATCTTCCCATTTGACCCCCATGATGTAGTTGGCCATGCCATTGATCAAAGTGCTTTTACCTGATCCAGTTGCCCCAATAACGAGGAGTACTTTTTCCTTTCCTTGACATTGGCCTGGTTCACCAATTGATCGTTTGGCAATCTTCTTTCTCTCATTTGTAAGTTCCTCTTTCATTTGAAGTTTGTAAATAGAAGGAGTCCCATCACTGAGTTTAAGCTCTTCCAGTCTTGCAGCTTCTGCCAGACGATGCTTCTTGAACAGCATCTCTGCTTGACGCTTGGCTTCGTCAAGGTATTTTACGCGCTGTAGGTGACCAATTTCTGCTTGTTGTTTTTCTGATTTAATGAGCAACTGCAAATGGTCCACGTTGAAAACTGGATTTGATTTGAGAGCAATTTCGTTCAAACGAACATGGCAATTCTTCGCCGTTTGCCAGCTTTCATCCTCGCCCATGTTTTGGACCCTCTTGGCACCATTGGCAACGTCTTGGACCATATGTTCCAGGAGAGTATGTAGCTTGTCGCGCTCGGTCAACACCTGCTTTGTTAGCTCAATGCCATCGCTTTTAAAGGAAGAGAGCTGGGTAAAAAATTGTCCGAAAGCTCGGAAATTCATTTTCCAAAATAATGCATCAAAGCTTACCTCGTCTTCATTTTTGTTGTCTGCAAACAGGGCAGAGTTGTTAAACTTAAAATGCCTATCGCTTACTGTGAGGTTTGCATCATTTAGCGCTTGAAGAATAGGAGGCTTCTCGTGATATGCAAATGTTACCATCAAAAAGATGTTTTTGCCTAGGTCTTTGCCAAACATGGATAAAACGGAATTGAAAATGTACTCCTGATGTGGTGTAAGTCTTGTAAGGTTAGCCCGGGTAACGAAGGCAATGCCATCGAGTTGCTGAATACCGTTTGGTGAAGGGATTGAAAAAAATTCCTTTATTTGTTTGGCAATATCTTTGTCACTCTTGAGCCCTTCAGAGTCACCAAAGCCAGGTGTGTCGATTACGGTTAATTTATAGGACACTGCTGAACCTTCCATAGGGTGAAACGTGTAAGCAGTGATATACTGTGTTTGACTTCTCGACTTGGAGACTTTTGGATCATCTATCACCAACTGGAAACGGAAATCATCTTCCCATTTGACCCCCATGATGTAGTTGGCCATGCCATTGATCAAAGTGCTTTTACCTGATCCAGTTGCCCCAATAACGAGGAGTACTTTTTCCTTTCCTTGACATTGGCCTGGTTCACCAATTGATCGTTTGGCAATCTTCTTTCTCTCATTTGTAAGTTCCTCTTTCATTTGAAGTTTGTAAATAGAAGGAGTCCCATCACTGAGTTTAAGCTCTTCCAGTCTTGCAGCTTCTGCCAGACGATGCTTCTTGAACAGCATCTCTGCTTGACGCTTGGCTTCTTCAAGGTATTTTACGCGCTGTAGGTGACCAATTTCTGCTTGTTGTTTTTCTGAATTAATGAGCAACTGCAAATGGTCCACGTTGAAAACTGGATTTGATTTGAGAGCAATTTCGTTCAAACGAACATGGCAATTTTGCGCAGTTTGCCATCTTTCATCCTCGCGCACGTTTTGGACCCTCTTGGCACCATTGGCAACGTCTTGGACTATATGTTCCAGGAGAGATTGTAGCTTGTCACGCTCGCTCAACACCTCCTTTGTTAGCTCAATGCCATCGTTTTTAGAGGAAGAGAGCTGCGTAAAGAATTGTCCGAAAGCTCGGAAATTCATCTTCCAAAATAATGCATCAAAGCTTACCTCGTCTTCATTTTTGTTGTCTGCAAACAGGGCAGAGTTGTTAAACTTGAAATGCCTATCGCTTACTGTGAGGTTTGCATCATTTAGCACTTGAAGAATAGGAGGCTTCTCGTGATCTGCAAATGTTACCATCAAAAAGATGTTTTTGCCTAGGTCTTTGCCAAACATGGATAAAACGGAATTGAAAATGTACTCCTGATGTGGTGTAAGTCGTGTAAGGTTAGCCCGGGTAACGAAGGCAATGCCATCGAGTTGCTGAATACCGTCTGGTGAAGGGATTGAAAAAAATTCCTTTATTTGTCTGGCAATATCTTTGTCACTCTTGAGCCCTTCAGAGTCACCAAAGCCAGGTGTGTCGATTACGGTTAATTTATAGGACACTGCTGAACCTTCCATAGGGTGAAACGTGTAAGCAGTGATATACTGTGTTTGACTTCTCGACTTGGAGACTTTTGGATCATCTATCACCAACTGGAAACGGAAATCATCTTCCCATTTGACCCCCATGATGTAGTTGGCCATGCCATTGATCAAAGTGCTTTTACCTGATCCAGTTGCCCCAATAACGAGGAGTACTTTTTCTTGTTCTTGACATTGGCATGGCTCACCAATTGATTGTTTGGCAATATTCTTTCTTTCATTTTTCAGCTCCTCTCTCACTTGAAGTTTGTAAATAGAAGGAGTCCCATCATTTACTTTTAACTTTGCGAGTCTTGCAGCTTCCGCCAAACAGTGCTTGTTCTTTAACAGCATCTCTGCTTGACGCTTGGCTTGTTCAAGGTATTCTATGCGCTGTTCGTAACCAGTTTCAAATTGTTGTTTTTCTGATTCAATGAGCAATTGCAAATGGTCCACGTTGAACACTGGATCTGATTTGAGAGCAATTTCATACAAACGAAAATAGCAATTTTGCGCCGCGTGCCATCTTTCATCCTCGTGCATGTTTTCGACCCTCTTGGCACCAGTGGAGACGTCTTGGACCATATGTTCCAGGAGAGTATGTAGCTTGTCGCGCTCGGTCAACACCTCCTTCGTCCGCTCAATACCAATGCTTTTCGCTGAAGAGAGCTCGGTAAAAAAATCTCCGAAGGCTTGAAAAGTCATCTTCCAACACAGTGCATCAAGGCTTCGTTCGTCTTTATCTTTATTGTCTGCAAACAGGACAGAGTTGTTGAACTTGAAACACCTGCCGCTTACTGTGAGGTTTGCATCATTTAGCGCTTGAAGAATAGGAGGCTTCTGGTGATCTGCAAATGTTACCATCAAAAAGATGTTTTTGCCTAGGTCTTTGCCAAACATGGATAAAACGGAATTGAAAATGTACTCCTGATGTAGTGTAAGTCGTGTACAGAAAGCCCGGGTAACGAAGGCAATGCCATCGAGGTGGTGGACACCGTTTGGTGGAGGAATTGAAAAGAACTCCTTAATTTGCACGGCAATATCTTTGTCCCTCTTGAGCCCTTCAAAGTCACCAAAGCCAGGTGTGTCAATTACGGTTAATTTATAGGACACTGCTGAACCTTCCATAGGGTGAAACGTGTAAGCAGTGATATACTGTGTTTGACTTCTCGACTTGGACACTTTTGGATCGTCTATCACCAACTGGAAACGGAAATCATCTTCCCATTTGACCCCCATGATGTAGTTGGCCATGCCATTGATCAAAGTGCTTTTGCCTGATCCAGTCGCCCCAATAACGAGGAGTACTTTCTCTTGTTCTTGACATTGGCCTGGATCGCCAATTGATTGTTTGGTAATCTTCTTTTTTTCATTTCTCAGTTCCTCTTTCATTTGAAGTTTGTAAATAGAAGGAGTCCCATCATTTAGTTTCAACTTTGCGAGTCTTGCAGTTTCCGCCAGACAGTGCTTGTTCTTTAACAGCATCTCTGCTTGACGCTTGGCTTGTTCAAGGTATTCTATGCGCTGTGCGTGACCTGTTTCGGCTCGTTGTTTTTCTGATTCAATGAGCAACTGCAAATGGTCCACGCTGAAAACTGGATTTGATTTGAGAGCAATTTCATACAAACGAACATGGCAATTTTGCGCCGTGTGCCATTTTTCGTCCCCGCGCATGTTTTCGACCCTCTTGGCACCAGTGGCGACGTCTTGGACTATATGTTCCAAGAGAGTATGTAGCTTGTCACGCTCGGTCAACACCTCCTTCGTCAGCTCAATACCAATGCTTTTCGCTGAAGAGAGCTCGGTAAAAAAATCTGCGAAGGCTTGAAAACTCATCTTCCAACACAGTGCATCAAGGCTTCGTTCGTCTTTATCTTTATTGTCTGCAAACAGGACAGAGTTACTAAACTTGAAATGCCTATCGCTTACTGTGAGGTTTGCATCATTTAGCGCTTGAAGAGTAGGAGGCTTCTCGTGATCTGCAAATGTTACCATCAAAAAGATGTTTTTGCCTAGGTCTTTGCCAAACATGGATAAAACGAAATTGAAAATGTACTCTTGATGTGGTGTCAGTCGTGTTAGGGAAGCCCGGGTAACGAAGGCTATGCCATCGAGTTGCTGAATACCGTTTGGTGAAGGGATTGAAAAAAATTCCTTTATTTGTTTGGCAATGTCTCTGTCACTCTTGAGCCCTTCAGAGTCACCAAAGCCAGGTGTGTCAATTACGGTTAATTTATAGGACACTGCTGAACCTTCCATAGGGTGAAATGTGTAAGCAGTGATATACTGTGTTTGACTTCTCGACTTGGACACTTTTGGATCGTCTATCACCAACTGGAAACGGAAATCATCTTCCCATTTGACTCCGATGATGTAGTTGGCCATGCCATTGATCAAAGTGCTTTTACCTGATCCAGTCGCCCCAATAACGAGGAGTACTTTTTCTTGTTCTTGACATTGGCCTGGATCGCCAATTGATTGTTTGGTAATCTTCTCTTTTTCATTTCTTAGTTCCTCTTTCATTTGAAGTTTGTAAATAGAAGGAGTCCCATCATTTAGTTTCAACTTTGCGAGTCTTGCAGTTTCCGCCAGACAGTGCTTGTTCTTTAACAGCATCTCTGCTTGACGCTTGGCTTGTTCAAGGTATTCTATGCGCTGTGCGTGACCTGTTTTGGCTCGTTGTTTTTCTGCTTCAATGAGCAACTGCAAATGGTCAACGTTGAAAACTGGATTTGATTTGAGAGCAATTTCATACAAACGAACATGGCAATTTTGCGCCGTGTGCCATTTTTCGTCCCCGCGCATGTTTTCGACCCTCTTGGCACCAGTGGCGACGTCTTGGACTATATGTTCCAGGAGAGTATGTAGCTTGTCACGCTCGGTCAACACCTCCTTCGTCAGCTCAATACCAATGCTTTTCGCTGAAGAGAGCTCGGTAAAAAAATCTGCGAAGGTTTGAAAACTCATCTTCCAACACAGTGCATCAAAGCTTTGTTCGTCTTTATCTTTATTGTCTGCAAACAGGACAGAGTTACTAAACTTGAAATGCCTATCGCTTACTGTGAGGTTTGCATCATTTAGCGCTTGAAGAATAGGAGGCTTCTGGTGATCTGCAAATGTTACCATCAAAAAGATGTTTTTGCCTAGGTCTTTGCCAAACATGGATAAAACGAAATTGAAAATGTACTCTTGATGTGGTGTCAGTCGTGTTAGGGAAGCCCGGGTAACGAAGGCTATGCCATCAAGTTGGTGAATACCGTCTGGTGAAGGAATTGAAAAAAATTCCTTTATTTGTTTGGCAATGTCTCTGTCACTCTTGAGCCCTTCAGAGTCACCAAAGCCAGGTGTGTCAATTACGGTTAATTTATAGGACACTGCTGAACCTTCCATACGGTGAAATGTGTAAGCAGTGATATACTGTGTTTGACTTCTCGACTTGGAAACTTTTGGATCATCTATCACCAACTGGAAACGGAAATCATCTTCCCATTTAACCCCCATGATGTAGTTGGCCATGCCATTGATCAAAGTGCTTTTACCTGATCCAGTTGCCCCAATAACGAGGAGTACTTTTTCTTGTTCTTGACATTGGCCTGGATCACCAATTGATTGTTTAGCAATCTTCTTTTTTTCGTTTAGCAGTTCCTCTTTCATTTGAAGTTTGTAAATAGAAGGAGTCCCATCATTTAGTTTAAGCTTTTCCAGTCTTGCAGCTTCTGCCAGACGATATTTCTCTTTTAACAGCATCTCTGCTTGACGCTTGGCTTGTTCAAGGTATTCTATGCGCTGTGCGTGACCAGTCTCGGCTTGTTGTTTTTCTGATTCAATGAGCAACTGCAAATGGTCCACACTGAACACTGGAGTTGATCTGAAAGCGATTTCATTCAAACGAACATGACATTTTTGTGCCGTGTGCCATCTTTCGCCCTCCCAGATGTTTTCGACCCTCTTGGCACCAGTGGCGACGTCTTGGACCATATAATCCAGGAGAGTTTGTAGCGTGTCGCGCTTTGTCAACACCTCCTTTGTTAGCTCAATACTAACGCTTTTAGAGGAGGAGAGCTCGGTAAAAATATCTGCGAAAGCTCGGAAATTGATCTTCCAAATCAATGTATCATTGCTTTCGGTGTCTTCATTTTTGTTGTCTGCAAACAGGGCAGAGTTGTTAAACTTGAAATACCGATCGCTAACTGTGAGGTTTGCATCATTTAGCGCTTGAAGAATAGGAGGCTTCTCGTGATCTGCAAATGTTACTATCAGAAAGATATTTTTGCCTAGGTCTCTGCCAAACATGGATAAAACGGAATTGAAAATGTACTCCTGATGTGGTGTAAGTCGTGTAAGGGAAGCCTGGGTAACGAAGGCAATGCCATCGAGTTGCTGAATACCGTCTGGTGAAGGAATTGAAAAAAATTCCTTTATTTGTCTGGCAATGTCTCTGTCACTCTTGAGCCCTTCAGAGTCACCAAAGCCAGGTGTGTCGATTACGGTTAATTTATAGAACACTGCTGAACCTTCCATAGGGTGAAATGTGTAAGCAGTTATATACTGTGTTTGACTTCTCGACTTGGACACTTTTGGATCATCTATCACCAACTGGAAACGGAAATCATCTTCCCATTTGACCCCCATGATGTAGTTGGCCATGCCATTGATCAAAGTGCTTTTACCTGATCCAGTTGCCCCAATAACGAGGAGTACTTGTTCTTGTTCTTGACATTGGCACGGCTCACCAATTGATTGTTTGGCGATCTTCTTTCTTTCATTTCTCAGCTCCTCTTTCATTTGAAGTTTGTAAATAGAAGGAGTCCCATCACTGAGTTTAAGCTCTTCCAGTCTTGCAGCTTCTGCCAGACGATGCTTCTTGAACAGCATCTTTGCTTGACGCTTGGCTTGTTCAAGGTATTTTACGCGCTGTAGGTGACCAATTTCTGCTTGTTGTTTTTCTGATTTAATGAGCAACTGCAAATGGTCCACGTTGAAAACTGGATTTGATTTGAGAGCAATTTCGTTCAAACGAACATGGCAATTTTGCGCCGTGTGCCATTTTTCGTCCTCTCTCATGTTTTTGACCCTCTTGGCACCATTGGCAACGTCTTGGACCATATGTTCCAGGAGAGTATGTAGCTTGTCGCGCTCGGTCAACACCTGCTTTGTTAGCTCAATACCAATGCTTTTAGCTGAAGAGAGCTCGGTAAAAAAATCTGCGAAGGCTTGAAAACTCATCTTCCAACACAGTGCATCAAGGCTTCGTTCGTCTTTATCTTTATTGTCTGCAAACAGGACAGAGTTGTTGAACTTGAAACACCTGCCGCTTACTGTGAGGTTTGCATCATTTAGTGCTTGAATAATAGGAGGCTTCTGGTGATCTGAAAATGTTACCATCAGAAAGATATTTTCGCAAAGGTCTTTGCCAAACATGGATAAAACGGAATTGAAAATATAGATCTGATGTTGTGTAACTCGTGTAGGAGATGCCTGGGTAACGAAGGCAATGCCATCGAGGTGGTGGACACCGTTTGGTGGAGGAATTGAAAAGAACTCCTTAATTTGCACGGCAATGTCTTTGTCCCTCTTGAGCCCTTCAGAGTCGCTGAAACCAGGAGTGTCGATTATAGTTAATTTATACAATAATGGTGAACCTCGCATTGGGTAAAACGTGTAAGCAGTGAGATACTTCGTGTAACTCTCTGTGTTGGGAACGTCTTCTATGGCAACCTTGAAGCGAAAGTCGTCTTCCCACTTCACTCCGATTATGTAGTTTACCATGCCATTGATTAAGGAGCTTTTGCCGGCCCCAGTTGCGCCAACTACGAGGAGCACTCTTTCCTGGAACTGTCCTGGCTCACCAACAGATTTTGCAGCGATCATTTTCTGCGGAAGAGTGATCTCCTCTTTCATTGGAAGTTGGTAGATAGAGAGAGATCCGTCTGTGTAGATCATCATTTCCTCTTTTTTCATACTCTCAGCTAGACGCAGAGAAGGAGATACGATCCAAACCCAAGTAAGCATTACTTCCCATAACCTCTGAATAAATGTCTGGAATAATGAAAGCACATTTTGGCCAATTGTGTTCGACTCAGGATGCACAGCGGATGAAGCGGATCCTTCAGTGATTTCTCTAAAAGAGAGAATATGACGTGACAATTGTATTAAAGCTTTCTTCACTCACTAAATATTCCGCTTCTGCTTTCTGTGGTTTTTTAATTCATTTGTGACTTTTTTGTATTTATGAACTGAAAACGTTTGGAATTTCATAGACAATGAATTCCTGGTGCATTTAATGCCTTCCTTCCAACCCATAAGGTACTTCTTAGATTTGCTTTACTAAAACTTTACATAGAGGATATAAATGTCAGTCTGCAAAAGCAAAAGCAATTTCAAGTCTTCAACTGCAAAAGCAATTTTTGTTTGAAAAACGTCACCAAGCTTCGCCCCTGAATAAGCACACCAATAAGTGTCACACGTCTCAAGTGAACGGGACGCTCATTCTAAGGGGCCGTGTCAGAGCTGTGTAGTTTATTTTATCAATAAAGGCAGCCAAGCTCCTTATTCGCTTTGGAACAAACTTACAGCTTGGTGTCAAACAAATATGTTTCCCAAGCATTGTATTAAACATGACAAACAAAAGTGAGCTGCAATATATGCGTTTTAATCTTCTTTAAATTCATGTCCCTCTGTGCCTTCCGTTGTATGTGCTGTGTTATTTATACCTTCTCTCTCTAACTATTTTCAGCAGTTATTTTTATGTTTATTATTTGATTGATGGGATATATCAGTTTTCCCAGACCTTTTACTCTTTCCACTTATTACTTAAAAAGAAAATTTATTTTTTTTAATTGACTCTGGGTTGCTTCTTTGAGCACATATCGTAATGTAATACCAATACAAAACTAGTGTATTGTACATTTGCATTGTTAATAAACCTTTAAGTATTTTACACCCAGAATAATTTAAACTAGCTAGAACTGTCATTCTTCACAGGTTTAATACGTATTCTGATAGACTGGAAGATTTGGAAAAGTCTAAAATACGCCTTGCACAGCCAATCCTTCAGTAAGATCAACCGTAGTAAGGCTCTTCTTAGACTCTATGAATACAAATGCAGGCATATTATTTTTCATAAATACAGTGTTCCTCTCCCTGCCCTTTAAAGAGACAAACTTTTGATGAATAAAAGCTGAAAAAATAGCAGAGCAAGAGTAAATATTACTGCTTCACAAATTAATGGAAGCACCCGAAGGACTTCTTACTCGTTCATACCTGATACATGTACGGTTGTTATTCTGTGATAAACTGCGTGTATATAATGCTTACAAAAGAAACAGATATATACCACGAGACAAAACTACGTCTAACATCACAACAGAAATACAAAGTTGGTTGTTAATTTATGCAGGAGTGATCCTGATTTTATGTCACGACAAGTGATTATTACTAGACCTAGTGGCAGACGACTTGCAGTGATTGTTTTAGAACCCAAATACAATATGCGTATACAATACTTGCTGAATTGTAAAATGTCAGATAAAAAAGAGTGTCCTCAGTCCAAAAAGGCTCCGAAGGTAAAAAAGCCCGGGGGGCGGGTAAAAAAGGAACTGTCATTATTTGTATTTTACCTTTTGGATTCCGCACTGTCCAGAGGACTTGCTGTCCACCCAAAGATTCCCATAGTCAATGGTGTAAAACTGAAATAAATAAATAAATAAATAAATAAAGATAACATTTATTCTATACCGTTATGCTTATTTAGCATGTAGACATAGGAATTAAGAACCTATAAATACTTCTTAAGACGAGTTCTTGGTCGGTGTTGTAAATTACGGACCGAGTTTTTTTCCAACGATTTATAGCGCGCGGGCCATAAATCAATGGAAAAAAGCTAGGATCCTTAATTTACGGTACAGAACGTGAAAACGAGGCTAATAAGATGTTTTGTTTTGAGAACAGGAAACAAGTGCAGGTAAAGCGATTTAACATACAGGCGTCACAAGAAGAAGGATTTTAAGGTTGATACACACTAGGCGACAAATCGCTTCGTGTGTGCTTTCTTTCGCTCGCCTTAAAAACGCATTTACCGGAGAATTTTTGTGAAAATCTCTGTCTCTGCAACAGAATTTTGTCGTAGCAACATGTTGCAAAAAATCAAATCAGACAGAAGTTGTGCGACTTGTCGTTCTCCAGTACACACGAACAGATGTGTCGCCGCAACATGTTGCTGCAACTAGTCGCCGGACCTGTACACACGAGATGATTTGTCGCCGCGACTTGTTGCTGCAACTTGTCGCCTCGTGTGTACCGACCTTTAAACATGCAAGATTCTCCCCGACAACCCACTCAGGTAAATCGTTCAATTCTTTTACAATTCTCACAAAAAATGAATATTTGTAACAGTTACAACTAGATGCTTGAAACTTCAACTTGTAATTATGATTACTTCTTGTTCGTTTTGACGCTAACTGGAAAAAGTCTTGAAATTCGAGATTAGTTAAAGAAAATATACATTTATAACACTCGATCAGAGAAAAATACAGTCTACGATTCTTTAACGGTGACCACTATAAAATGGGACAACGTTCCTCGTAGTCCATTTCGCCCCACTTTTGGCCTAGAGCCAGTCTCGACGCTCTCCTCTGGACTTTTTCTAGCGAAACAATGTCCTTTACTAGAAAGTGGCATCACAGTGGAGCCGCATACTCCAGTATCGGCCTTACTAGAGGTTGGCGGCAGTGCGGGGCGGCGGGAGTTTGTATAGCAAAGAGAATTCATTCATACTATTGGACCCAAGCACGCGCTTAATGGCCCCAAGGACTTTGTTGGCTTTCTTGACCACTTCGTGACTATGATCGCTCCATGATAGATTGTACGATATTGTAAAACAGAGATCTTTGATATTTTTCACACTCTTTAGAATTTCACCATTTGGATCAAGTATATAGCTCTCTTTCGACAGATCTTGTAGCACATGCGTATCATCAGGAATGTTCTCTATCTCCCTATAGAGTTTAGTGGGCAGTTTAGTGTCGTCTGCGTACAATTTCACAGTGGAAGAAACTCCAGTGGATATATCGTTGACTTACATTATGAACAAGATGGGCCCTAAAATTGTTCCCAGAGGTACACCTGATTTTACCTGAGTCCATGACGAATAACTGCCGCGCAACACAACACGTTGCGACCAACCAATTAAAAAGCTTTGAAACCAACTGAGAAGAGGGCCGTCAATACCGTATCTTTCTAATTTATTAGGCAGACGTCTGTGTGGAACACTATCAAACGCTTTGGAGAAGTCTAACAGAATTACGTCCGTAGCATTTCTCTTTTTACGAGATTTTGCCAAGTCGTTAAAACAGAATAACAGCTGCGTGACCGAAGAGCGACCTTTCATGTACGCAAAATTGGGATTGAAAACATTGGCTTCGCCCCAAAACTCCATAATTCGCCGTTTAACTATTTGTTCAGCTAGTTTACACACGATTGATGTTAGTGAAATCTGACGGTAATTGTTTCTGCAGTTTTTACTGCCCTTTTTGAACAAAGGTGTTATATCAGCGCATTTCCACTTGCTAGGCAATTGGCCAACAGCGAAGGGCTTATTGATTAATGCACATATAGATCAAGAGAGAGCCGATGCACATTACCTCAAGGTGCGCGGCGACAAACCGTCAGGGCCAGCATTTAGATTCTTTAACAGCTTTTCAATCTCGTTAACAGAACAATCGATATTAGAGAGCTTAGAAGCGACAACATGGTTAAAATTAGGAAAGTTATAACAATCTTCGGATGTAAACACCGACTATTAAATTTGATTCATGCTTTGGGCAATGCTGAGGTCGTCTGTCAGAGTTACTCCATCAACTAGAACCACTACGTGGAACTTACCGGGGCCCAGTGGGACACGGGATTGC